AACAATTGATTTTAGGGTCATCACTCAGTCTATTGTCTGTGTCTAGGACTTGGGACCACAAACCTTTATACATAACCTTTAGGGCCAGGTGTGTTTAGAACTCAGAATTGGGGGGATTTTGAAAAAGTAGCAATATGTGTGTACTGTACATTACCTAACACCCTCACCACCACACCCAAGTGGAACCTGGTGAGCACTGTAATCAAACCCGTTTGTGCTTGTGCAATCAAATGTATAAGAATTCATACTATAGTTTATTTGCATTCTCATGCCAATCAGGTTTGGCTTGCTGAAAGCTTTTGGTTTTCAGAAATTTTTAATGTTGGAATGGCAGACAAAGATTGTGGATCTATAACATAGTATTCCAAGACAAAAAAGAATTTACCCTCAAATCTCCACAAAACCACTTCTGTTTCTGAAAGTTTGATTTCTTTATTTATTTACACATTTGTTCAGCACTTTTGGATGTTGAGCATTGTCATCCCTGTATTTTTTTTTAAGAATAAAGTAAACCAGAATTAATTTTTTTTTGTAGAATGTTTAGCTAGCTTCAGTAGATATGTTGAAATAATTAAGACTATTGCAATACCAAGATTGGGAATTATGACCTTAGAAAAAATGTTTTGCTCCTTATCACTCACAAATTAAACATGACTTGGGATTTCTGTTAAGTTGTAGTGTGTTTACTGGTTAAAAAAAAACACAGTTAAGTAAATAAAAAGACATTGAATCAAAACCGGCAAAGTCTTCCATTGTTTATGGTCATCTATCCTTTGGTTGTCAGGTTTTATTTAATTTGTAAGGGAGGAGTTTACCACACTACCTTGTAATGCTCATGATCTTTGTATCCTCAAGATTTTAAAAGATGGATTTAAAAACTGTTTTAGATTGAGAAATTAATTTAAAAATAGTTTTTGCCATAATTTCTCTCAGAGACAGCAGACTTTAAGTGGGATATTATTTCCATAAAGTCAGGAGGACCCCATGCAGAGCTCCCCATACTTACCTCTGGCCTTCTGTATGCCACCAGGAAGATCCAGAAGGACTTTAGATGCTGAACTTCCTGCTCAAGAAACAGATTATTTCGTATTCTACCAACTGAAGACTTATTTGTACTCAAGGCATCTAATATGCTTAGGATGGTATCTGCCACAGAGCAAATGCTCATTAATATTAGTTACTATTATTCACCTCCGTTTACATTTCTGACAATCAAGGTCTCCCAAGGGATTGAACCTGAGACACCATGCTTGTGGCTTGTGCCTTGGCAGGTTCACTGTGATCATCGTATCAACATGAAGTAGATTCAGTATTCACCACAGGCATGGGCACACACAGTAGTGATGGAGTTGTCTTACTACAGGATTACTGTGAGTTGGGGTTAGTCGCTAAGTTGTGTCCAACTCTTGCATCCCCATGGACTGTAGCCTGCCAGGCTCCTCTGCCCATGGGATTCTCCAGGCCAGATTACTGGAGTGGGTTGCCATTTCCTTCTCCAGGGGATCTTCCCAACCCAGGAATCGAACCCCGGTCTCCTGCACTGCAGGCAAAGTCTTTACTGACTGAGCTATAAGGGAAGCCACTGTGAGTTGAGGTCGATGCTAAGGTCTGTCTGTCTCCCCGAATCTCCCGGTCTTTCACTAGAAAAGAGATGGAAAGGGAGAAGATCCAATGTCTGAATTTGTGAACACATCACGGGAACACAGCAGCTGTTTAACAATTATGCTGGAGCTTAGACAACATTTTAAGGTGCAGACAGACCTCAAGGAAGAGATAACTGAATGATTGCTGGGAATATTTTAGGAATGGTGGTAAATTAGGTGTTTCAAACGAAAGGCAAATGGTCTAATTTTCTAAAAAAGAAACTTTTTGACCCCTGGATGGTAAATTCTATTTTATTTCTGAAGAAGAATCGACAGTGGATTTTTTAAAAGATGGTTTGTGATTATCTGCAGAGGAAGCACAGACTCTGCTAAAATCCTTCTCTACAGGTTTCACAAAGAACAGGCAAGATGAGCACTATTTCTTCCTGATGGATCACCAGTTAAATAACTCAGGCTGTGTACTTACATCACAGCCAAGAGTCATAATACATGTAGATTTTTATTTTATTTTAGTGCTCCATATATATCAAGCACTATGATAAACATTGAGGATAACGATAACTGAGCTAAAGGAGTTAAGTTTTATGAAATCAGAACTAAAGTTTTATGAATCAGAACTAGTCTCTAGTATTTTTCTCAAATAATTGCCCATGAATGAATGGTTGAAAACAATTAGATTGGTTAATTAGTAGCTGCTTTGATATACATTTTTATAATGATGCTTATTCACTTTTGGATAAACCAAAAATGATGAAAAAAATAGTTGATGAACCTCTTCCAGAAAGGTGATATTTTGTGTGTGACAGAGATAAAAATTGAGATGAATAGTAGCAATAACAAAATCCTACACTCTTCTACTTATTTAAAAAGTCTAGTTGCTTGTATATATGTGTGTGTGTTTGTGAATGCATATGCTAAAGATTTGGTACTAATGCATAGGTTTTTTATCATAAGCCATTACGATATAAATAAAATGAATTAAACTTTGCCTATAAAGATTCCTCTTCCTCTCCAAATAACAACATTGTCACCTACAATAAAACTGCATGACCACAACTACTGTTATCTTGGGAGGGGGTGTGTGAGTGAGCAGGGAGAATTATTTGGGGTGACCAGAGGCCATCTATGCACCTCATTCCAATGAATCATTGTTTCCCCACTAGCTCATGAACTCCTCATGGTCAGGGCCTGTGTATCTAATAAAATGCCTGGACAGCCGCAAGCTCCCAATAAGCGCTTCTTGAAGATGTATTCTTCCCCACCATCCCCCAAGAAAAACACCTTAATTTGATCTTATATTGCATTAACTATAGAACAGCATCTTTAATAGTTTCCTACTGCTGCTGTAAAAATGTAACAATACAAAGTTAGTGGCTTAAAACAATACGAATTTACTTTTCTGCAGTTGCAGAGGTCAGAAATTCCTAAAGTCAAGGTGTTGGTAGGCAGCACTCCTTCCTGAAGGCTCTTGGGGAGAATCTGTTGTTTTTTTTTAACTCTTCCATGCTCTACAAGCTGCCCACATTCCTTGGCTTATAGCCTCTCTCCTCCGTCTTTAAACTGGCAAGTCTCTGACTCTTTCTGGAGTCACATTTCTTTCTCTAACCACTGTCAGGAAGGATTCTCTACTTTTCTTTAAAGGGTTCATGTGTGTAGATTGGGCCAACCTGTATAATCTAGGTCAATGCTATGTAAGGCAATGTATTCATAGATTATGTGGTTATGCTTAGGATTAGGGTGTGGACATCTTTGGGAACCCATTATTCTGCCTATCGGGGGCGTCCCAGGTGGCTCAGTGGTAAAGAACCCACCTGCCAATGTAGGAGACACAGGAGACGCAGGTTTGATCCCTGGGCCGGGAAGATGACTAGAGAAAGAAATGGCTACCCGTTCCAATATTCATGTCTGAAAAGTTCCATGGAGAGAGGAGCCTGGTGGGCTACAGCCCATGGGATCGCAAAGAGTCAGACACAACTGAGTGACTGAACATGCACACGAACGCACACACATGCAAACACACACACACGATTTCGTTTCTAAGGACCCATCCCATGTCAAAAGTGGTGAAGGAAGCTGATAGAGGTCAGATGCCTCTTCAGAAGATGCAGAGACCACTGTTACAACTGAATACAAAAGACAGTAACCATTAGAGACAGTGAAATTTTTCAAATATTGCACAAATACTTAAAAAATTCTCTCTGGCATATTTAGACATGGAGTGAAAACAAAGAAATGAACTAGAGATGCTAGACATGAAGAATGTGTAGATTAATTGCTATTCGGTGACTTGTGTGGGTGTCAAATAGGACTCCCTATTTTAAGGAGGTTGAATATTTAAAATGAAAGAAACAAAATGTGGGCTGTATTTTCTCATTTTAATCTATAAAATAATATACTTTTGAGACTTTTTTCATGAGTCTACTTTGGGGATGATCATTTGGAATAACTTGTACAGGATCTGGGAACTGCAATTGATGTCATAGCATGTGCTACATAAAAGTACTTTGTTCTGCTTTAAGAGTTTATGTTACCATATTCTTGATCTTTTAAATATACTTATGAATTTCTAGGTTGTGAACCTGAACTGTACTTGGTGTTATGTTAGGTCAGTTGACCCACTATTTTCTATTCCAAAAATATCCAAAAAGAAATTAATTGCAATCCTCAGAGGACCTCACCAGGCTCCTCTGTCCATGGAATTCTCCAGGCAAGAACACTGGAGTGGGTTGCCATGCCCTTCTCCAGATCTTCCAGACCCAGGGATCGAACCCAGGTCTCCTATGCTGCAGCCAGTGTCCCGCACTGCAGGTGGATTCTTGACTGATTGAACTACTTACGCCTTTTTCCCAGTTATATCCGAGAGAGGTCTTTGTGGTTCTTTACACCTGTGGCATATCTACCCTTGTAGAGGGTCCTCAGTGTCTGCAGAGTTCTCATGGTCATTCTGGATCAAGAGGAGCCTGTTCAGACACTTAAGACTTCGGGCCAGTGCTGGCAGGGACCTCACACCGTTCCGTCATCTTTCCACTTCTCCGGATTGCCCCGCAGCAATAAGGATGATTCTGGCCAGTTCCTGATACTACCCCCTCCACCATCAGGGGAAGGTCAACTATTTTTTGATCCCCTGGGGAGAGAGGCAACTCCTCAGTCAGTGTCCTAAAATAGCCTGCCATTCTCAGCTGCCGGGCTGGAGGCCCTCCAGGGGAGCGCAAAGGCAGCAAGAATCCACCGCCCGTGTGAGTGGGACTCCGCTGAAACACCAACTAAGAGACGCTGCTCAAGAAGATCCTGCCGGCTCAGAAGTCTTTATTCTTTTTTTTTTTTTTAATTGAGGATCTGGGTGTCCGCTCTCATTTATTTTCTTATTTTATTTCAACAGAAACCAGTGAATTGAAAATGAGACTAAATATCGCCATCTTCTTTGGGGCTCTCTTTGGTGCTCTGGGGGTTTTACTCTTTCTGGTGGCTTTTGGATCAGATTACTGGCTTCTCGCGACTGAAGTGGGAAAGTGTTCAGGTGAACAAAATGTGCGTTTCTTCTTCAAAATGTTGTCGTACTTGGTGGTAACGAGGATAGCCTTACATATCTTCTGAGAATCCAAAAATAGCAGGGGAATGTCTATTTCTTCTCAGAAGAGATATGTAGAAAGCTAATGACCATTATTGTTTGGGAAACAATACGTTGCTTAAAAAATTTCCCAGATGTAATTATTCAGACTGTGTTCCTTGTATTGATACCAGTTACTTCATTTGTGTTCTGTACAGATAGAAAACGTCACTTTCCACCATGAAGGATTCTTCTGGAGATGTTGGTTTAATGGGATCGTGGGAGAGAATGATTCCAATATCTGGCAGTTCTGGTACAGTAAGTAAAATTCAGCTTTATTTCCCCCCCAACCCCAACACCTGGCTTGTCAATAAAAAAGAATACTTTCTTATTTTGGTGCATGTCACTTACAAAACAGGAGTGGATTCTTAGCTGTGGAATCTCAATGGGGTATTTTTCAAAGGTTCCTTTCAGATTCCTTTTCAGTAAACAGAATTGGCTATAGAAATAATTATTTTATTTTCTAACATAAAATTGCAGTCAGTATTTATGGCAGAATTGGACAATCCACTATTTCTTTGCTCACATTTAAATTACATCATCCTTAACAAGCAAATATTATCTATAGTATGTTTTTGGAGTGTCTATTATTGCCATGTTGCAAATAAATGTTTTTATTTTAGGGGCTATAAATCCTTGAAATCACAAATTTAAAAATTCAGAATTAGAGATGTACTATTTTATAGTAACAGCTTCAAAATTTAAAAAAAAAATCTTTTTATAACGAAACAATTATGAGCAGTGACAGATGAAAGCTTGCTCTATTAAGGCTTAAACCAAGTTTGTGGGCAATATGAAGAAATGCTTTACTTTTGATGTTTCCACTCTCTTACAGAAACTTTAAAGTTCTTTTTTGAAATAGAATAGCTCCTTAAGAAATACAGTTGCATTCTTTCAACCATATTTTCTATATTGCTGTTAATCTTTGAAAATCAATTCACTGAAAATAGCTAGCCTTTATCTTATTGCATCCAACAATGAAAGAACTGTTTATTACCTTCTGACTTACTGTGGGTTGAAATTATTAGTCTTCTTATCAAAACTACTCCTGTGATAAATCAAAGTGTGGCATTTAAACAAGTCAAGATTATGGAGTATATCATAAAAACTTGAGATCACAGAAGACAGGTCAATAGTAAGTTGGCATATATTAAAAGAAACAAAGTCGTGATGAAATGGCATTTTGAGAGACATATTTCATAGAGTTTATGATTGTCATTTGGGGGAGGAGAATAAGCATGTGATCTGCCGATGAAAATTATCTAGGCTTTGGTGACATGAAGTAAGTCAGACTTTGCAAGAGGAAGAGTTTGCCAAGACTTAGAGAAGGAAAAAATATTTTACTCCTTAAAGGGTATGTGATGAAATCATCAAGATTTCAAACAACATTAAAGTTCTTTCTTGTGGTTTCTTCAAATGCTAAAAATAAACTATAATCATTAACTTGTATGGTCTATCATCTACATCTTTTCCCTGAAAGTAGAATATAGAAGAAATTTTGCATTAGTTAGAACCAATCATAGTTAGATCTAAATTTATTAGATTTTTAAACAACAACTTTTTTTTTTTTCTGTTCTGAGCATTATGTTAGGAACTGGAGAATACTGTTGTAAAAATGAATGAAATCTGGTGAGTTCAATTGTAGGTGATATTAAGGGCATTCTCTCCACTGGATTAGGTCATGAGCTAGATGTTTTAGATGAATCCACTTTCCAGGTCTCCTCTGCTATTCCATATGAGACTTTTAAGGAGGTTCATCCCTATTCAATAATTCTCTGAGATTGTTGATCTGTAGTTTTATTTTGCTTGTGTACCACCACAGCCTGTATTTCTCTTCTACTGGGAACAAGTCTTCATGTAGCCTCTCAGTAACAAATACCTCTGTCTTGCCTTCCTTCCCAGCCAATCAGCCCCCATGGAAGAACTGCACCCACGCTTACCTGTCGCCATACCCCTTCCTGAGAGGCGAGCACAACTCCACCTCCTATGACTCTGCAGTGAGTAAGTAGTGGGTCTTCAGGGCGCCTCCAGAAGGGCGGTCTTTCTGAAACATTCCCCCCACAGCAGCTTTGTGGGCAATCAAAAAATAATTTATAATTTCAATGTGGTTTTGATAGCAGTTATATATAAAATAATAAATAAGATGTCATTTTTATTTATTTATTTATCTTTGATGTGGACTTTTTTTTTTTTTTTACAATCTTTATTGAATTTGTTACAGTATTGCTTCTGTTGTATGTTTGTTTGGCCATGGGGCATGTGGGATCTTAGTTCCCCGACCAGGGATTGGACCCACACCTGCTGCTTTGAAAGGTGAAGTATTCTCCACTGGACTGCCAGGGAATTCCCAAGATGTCACTTTTAAAATACCATTTATAATCTTAATAAAATACAACTTTCATCCAAAATCAAAGCCCATTTGCTTGTTGCTTATCATGATAATTTTTTATAAGTGTGTTTGTTTTCTAATATGAAAATAATGGTATTCATCAGGAAGATGGGCTTCCTGGGTAACTCAAATGGTAAAGAATATGCCTGCAATGCGGGAGACCAGGTTCAATCCCTGGGTTGGGGAGATCCCCTGGAGAGGGGCATGGCAATCCACTTCAGTATTCTTGCCTGCAGGCTACAGTCCATGGGGTCGCAAAGAGTCGGACACGACTGATACACACACATCAGGAAGAACTGCTCCATGAGAGTTTAACTGATATAAAACTAGTCTTACAATGGAAAACATTGTAATATACACCCTGATTTTAAAACATTTTTGCCATTGTCATACGTAAGAATATGATTGCGTGCTAAGTCATTTCAGTCATGTCCAACTCTGTGACCCTGTAGACTGTGGCCCACCAGGCTCCTCTGTCCATGGGATTCTCCAGGCAAGAATACTGGAGTGGGTTGCCATGGCCTCCTCCAGGGGATCTTCCTGACCCAGGGATCGAACCCACATCTCTTATGTCTCCTGCATTTGCAGTCAGGTTCTTGACCACTAGTGCTGCTATTATGTTACTGTATTTCTACAAAATGATGAAACTTTGTTGTGCATGATATTCCGCAGAAGGAGAGTCCTATGCTGTTAACTGGGAATCATGATTGCCCAGCTTTTTTCATGTTTTCACACTACTTTTTCTATAGAAAGTATATAAACTTAGTTTCTGTACGAAGTACCCAATATTTAGCACATAAATCTAATTTTTAAAAGTACATGAGCTCAGTATGTCAACTTTATTCTCAGCTGGTTGCATTAAGTTTTTCATAAGAGAGTGTTTATCTTAAGCTTAAAACTAAGGGTTGGTACAGAATTTAGTGGTGTCATTAACAGAGCCGAAAAAAAAAATCTGTTTTTCAAAGAGAATACTTAACATTTAATATTCTGAATCAATGTGTATTAGTTAGGATTCTCCAGAGAATCAATAGGATTTGTGTGTGTGTGTGTGTGTGTGTACAGAGAGAGAGACTGAGGTTGATTGATTGATTGATTGATTGAGGGAGAGGTTTTAAGGAATTGGCTCATGCTGTTGTTTGAAAGGCTGTTAAGTTTGAAATCTGTGGGGCAAGCCTGCAGCTGGAGATTCAGATAACAGCTGATGTTGAGGTCTTGACTCTGAGTGCTGGAGACTTGGGTAGAATTTCTATGGTGCAGTCTAGGGGAGGGTTCTTTCTTCTTCAGAAAACCCTGTTTTGTTCTTTAAGTCCTTCAATGAGGCCCACCCCCTCATACTGTGGGATAATCTACCTTACTGATAGTCTGCTGATTGTAAACACTGACACATCAAAATGCCTTTAGAGCAGTTTTAAGGCTACTGTTTGATCAAGCAGCCAGGCACCATCGTCTAACTAAGCTGACACATAAAATTAACAATCACAGAACTCAATGAACTTTTACATCCATCATCCATTTTTTTTCATCTTTATATAAAATATGAATTTCCATACATTTTAATTTTGTTTTGAGTTTGTCAAAGGATATAGCATCTGCTTATATCACATTAACATGACGTGTTATGGAGCAGGTGTGGATCCGGGTAGGAAAAGGGGTGAGGCCGTGCTTGTCCACCAGACTTGCCGGAGCTCAGAGGGACTGGGGCTGCTGGTCTTAATAATAAGTGTGGTGCAGATGCTCTTTCCTGTAAAAATCTGCCTGGGTTCCAGTGCAACCAAAAAAAGATAAGTAAAGTTCCCCCATCATTTCATAATTTCTCAGTCACATTTGCCAAACCTCTTACATCATTTATGATGTGGACTTTCTCACTGACGACAGAGGACATGGCATGGGAAAAAGGCAGATAAACTACTCTGTGTTATAAAAAGTTACATTACAAAAAGTTATGAAAACGATATCCCTTCCTTGTCATTCTTTCTAGGACATTAGGTATTTGCATAAATATGCGTATTGCTGTTGCTAATACTCGTATGTTGAGGTCCTGTGATAAGATAGGTTTGGTAGGCTGCATATACTTAAAAGTGAATCTACATATTTGAAAAATTTTCACCTCGAGGAGATAATGAGTGTGTGCTAAGTTGCTTCAGACTCTTTAAGAGCCCATGGACTGTAGCCTGCCAAGCTCCTCTGTCCATGGGATTTCCGAGGCAAGAATGCTGCAGTGGGCTGCCATTTCCTCCTCCAGGGGATCTTCCCAACCCAGGGACTGAACCCGCGTCTCTTAGTCTTCTGCATTGACAGGTGGATTCCTTACCATTAGCGCCACCTGGGAAGCCCTAAGGAGATTGTGGTGAACTTGCAAAATAAGGTAATGTTATCTGTGCATAATAATGATGGGGAAGGATAGTGAATGCATGTCAGCGAAATTGCACTGCAATTACATTTAGAATTATTATGCTGCGTTACATATAATTACTATGTCACTTTTTGGATCAAGTGACAAAACTGTGTCCCATGTTTTTAAGTTGTCACACTCCTCTTTGGCATACATATTACAATTCCTTATTTCACTTTAAGCAAAAACACTAAGGGAAAATGACTGAGGTGAGAAGAGGTATGTCCTAAAACAGAAATAGTATATGCAAGTTCCATTTATCTTCCTACTACTGGTACAGTGATACCTGACATTATATTTGGGTGATTATTTTATTGTTTCTTTTATCCAAGGGAAAGATACAGACTTCATCAAAAAGATTCAATCTAGTTGAAAGTGTGTGTTTCCTAGTTGATAAAGCCACGAGATTTCACTAGACTCCAGAACTACATCAACTTCATAGCTTCATAATTATCAGGCATTATACATTTGCTGGAATTTCCTGATGGCTCAGATGGTAAAGAATCCACCTGCCAATGCAGGAGTCACAGGTTTGATACCTGGGTTGGGAAGATCCCCTGGAGAAGGAAATGGTGCTTCTGTATTCTTCCCTGGGAAACCCCATGGACAGAAGAGCCTGGTGGGCTACAGTCCATGGGGTTGCTAAGAGTTGGACATGACTTAGAAACTAAACAACAACAACAACAGTACATTTGTCAACTCATCTTGGGAAAATTCAAAGTATTGTTTGTGAAATCTGATGTATTGTGGCCAGGCAAATTGTTGGCAAAATGTCTTTACCTTCTCCAGAATTTTTACAATTACAGTTAGCTAATACTGAAATCAGTGAAAATAATAGAGTGGTGGATAGTTTTCTGGAAAGACTATTTTAGAATTATTGGACATTACTGATGAAATTATTTTATTTCACAACGAGAGGGCTGAGACTCAGAGAAACCATGTGATTTCTGTCTTCACACAGTTGATCACTGGCAGAACTAACCTAAGGTCCAAGCCTCTGGGTTTTGTTTATTGATGATCTTATCAACTACAGTGAATGAAAAGGCTGATTTTAGTTCTTACTATTAAATCTTTTAAAGTCAAGTCTTTTAGTTGGATCCCAATAAAAAAAACAAAATAAACTTATGTTGGCTTTTTTTTACCTTTCTGTTTGATCCTGACTTGTAGGTACAGTCTGGTCTAATTCACTGTTTCCTTTATTTTTGTTTTAATCTCAAATGCACATTCTAAGATCCAGTTATGTTCAAATCTTGTTATTTGGATGGTTGCCCAAGCTTAGAGGGGCTGATCTAATTCTCAGAATTGTTTTCTGAAGTAGGACTGTATACTTCGAAGTCCATTAAACAATTTCATTACCTCTCGATATCTGTCAGAATTCAGATTTTCTGGTTTGTTTCATGCTTAAGTTTAGTCATAGTCCATTAACTTGCTAACATCGGGTGATGATGTACTGAACGTAGATTAATTTTCAAGGTAACTCAACCCTTTGAAAGGAATCAGTCCTTTCCCTAGGTGTCCCCTTGGCCTTTAACCACACCCACCAAGGTGCTCCTTGTACCTAACTGCGACTGGTCATTTACTCGATTTCTTCATTGTTTATTGCAGTTCCCCAAAGGCACAGACTGTGACCTACTCATATTTGTATCGCCAGCACTTAGCATAGTGCCGGATACTTAGAAGACCCTTCAGTGTTTGTATGAAATGACAATGCCAAATTGCAGTTTGTATTTTCAGCGATAAACTGTTTTAACTTTATTACTTCCAAGTGGAAACGGCTTTCTTATGAAGTAGAATATATTGAACATAATTTCTGGTTTTTTCCTGATGAGTTGGAACAAACACGTGGACACAGGCCAGCCACACGGCCTTCTTTCAGCTGCTCAGAATCAGCATTTGTGCTCTCACTGCAGGGCCCAAGGGTGTCCATCCTTCTCCCCAGGTGCTCCTCCCTCGTCCCACACCCTCCTCCCGTTTCCTTGATGAAGCAGGATCACCCACTGCGCAGTTCAGACTTCAGTTCCTAAGGAAGACTTCCTTGCTGCCCCTTCCCCCTCTAACACGGGGGCTAGACCAGGCTCTCCTTTATAAAACCCATGCTTTCATTTGATAATTTACAGCACAGATTTTAAATATTTCCTGCAGAATTATTTTGTTCATATATCCCTTCCCGATTTAACTCTCAGCTCCACAACTGTAATGTCTTCTGTTTGACTCACCGTT